AACAAAGTATTTGCATCCATCTTGCTAACAGTTCTATCCCAGCTTGCTACACAACAGATCAGGACTTAATAGAGTTTTTCTTCTTCCCATCACTTCTTTCTCCTCTGCAGTGTATAAGGGCTGAGCAAATCATGACAACACCAGAGAGCCAGGCAAGGATTCAAACCCATTTCACACCTGATGTCCCTCTGCTCCAAATTGAGTGGCGGCAAGACCGATACTTCCTCCATCTTCTGAATAGGGAAATATCCTGGTGCCACATTTCTAAGCTAGACAAGCTTATTTCTTGGCTCAAAGAAAAGGTCACTTGAAGCCTAGAATTCCCTTCTAGCATATTGCATCAGATTCAGCAAAGTACAAAGCTTTGCGTCCTGAAAAATGCCCTTTAACTTTTGGAAAGAACATGCCTTTTTGGCAACAGCTGAATATGCCCCCAAAGGAGATGCAGCCCCAAACCACAAAGACTCTCAATTGTTCACAAAAAACGCTGCCTTCCAGGGCAAAGGGCTCTACCAAAAGCATTTATTGATGTCTAACTACTTAGGAACCGTAAGAAAGGCTGAGTGCCAAAGAATTGAGGCCTTTGAACTATTGTGCTGGAGAAGACTCCTGCGAGTCCCTTGGACTGCAAGGTGATCCTACCGGTCAGTCCTAGAGGAGATCAACCCTGACTGCTCTTTAGAAGGCCAGATCCTAAAGTTGAAACTCAAGTACTTTGGCCACCTAATGAGAAGGAAGGACTCACTGGAGAAGGGCCTGATGCTGGAAAAGATGGAGGACAACAGAAGAAGGGGACGACAGAGAATGAGATGGCTGGAGGAGTCCCTGAAGCAGTAGGTGTGAACTTAAATGGACTCCAGAAGATGGTAGAGGACAGGAAGACCTGGAGGAACGTTGTCCATGGGGTCGCGATGGGTTGGACACGACTTCGCAATTAACCACAACAACTACTACTTAGGAAGATGTAGGTTTATCGTGCAATTGGACGTTCAGATGCATTTGTATGTTGGGGTCCCACAGGCCTAAACCTGAACAGGAGGTATTTTTTCCCCTCTGAATTTCTCACCAACTAACTTCAGAAATGTCACTTGTAAGCCATCCCATGATTCGGTTTTGGCTTCTCGTAAATTCTCAACCGCAGATTGTGAAAACAACGGCTTACGGCTTAGCAAATCATGCAAACGCAGCTCATTGTGACTGGCTCAGCTCGTTCAGTACTGGTCGTGCAGCTCAGCTTCATTAGAACATACAAGCCAGGGCTGGAAAAGTGAAAACTGGGATGACCTGCCTGTATTCACATACACAGGGCAAAAACCACCTTCTCTATCTTGCTGGAGGACAAATACACCCCATACAGGAAGTCCTCAACTTAAACACATTTAGTGATCGTTCGAAGTTACAACAACACTGAAAAAAGGGACATGACCATTTTGCACACTTACCACCAGTGCAGCATCCCCCAAGGACACGTGGTCAAAATTCGGACACTCGGCAACTGACTCACATGGAGGACGGTTGCAGTGTCCCGGGGTCAGGTGATCCCCTTTTGCGACCTTCTGACAAAGTCAATGGGGCAGCCGGATTCACTTAACAACCACGTTACTATCTTAACAACTGCAGTGTTTCACTTAACAACTATGGCAAGCAAGCTTGTAACATGGGGCAAAACTCACCTAACTCGCTTAGCAACAGAAATGTTGGGTTCAAATGGTGGTCGTAAGTTGAGGACTACTTGTACTTCCATGCAGAGAATTGCAGCTGGGGGGGGGCTGGAATTTCTTCCAGAAGGAGAAAATATTCTGCAAATTCTTTGCCTTACAGAAAAGAGGCTGGTGTACCAAGCCATCTTTAGGAGGGAGCTTAAGGCAACGGATGCCTGAATAAAATCTCCTCCAAGTCGGGAACTCGCTGGGTGGCCTCGTGCTTTGCTCGGAGTCAGGCGAGATACAATGTGCACATAACAACAGGGTGTGTGTGTGTGTGTATATGGATGCTTTATAGTAATATTGGCTGGGTTCAGACAAGATGCCAAGCCGTGGCAGGTTTGAAGTGCAGCGTGCAAGCCAGCCGTATGGCTGCCTTGGCACATAGTGCTCCATAAACAGAGCATTAAAAACCACCAGAACTGGAGTCATGCACAGGCTTGTTTGAGACCAAAGAAACCAAGGGCAGTGGACAGAGATACAGTAATCCCATGATCTGTCCTATCAAACAGAATTCTTTTAAACTTCCAGTTTGTTTCGTTTATGTAACTGCCCATTTACATATGTGGCTCTGAGCAATCCACAAAGTTTTAAACTAAAAACAAAACACATAAATAAGAACAAAAAAAACCGACAGTAGCAAAATAAATTAATAAAATAAACGCTAGTAACAAATAAATTAAAGCAATTAAAAAAAACTGACCACACACACTGCACCCTAGGGAAAACAGGTGGCATACCTCCTATCTATTTACTCATTCTGTTCTGTGCTAAGGGGTTTCTAGGTGGCGTAAAAAGAATTCATTTTCAAAGAATATTAAAACAGTAAAATACATCAGCTGGGGCAACAGGGGAAAAAATAGCTGTTAACAGCCATTATTCCTATCCAAGTCGAGCAGTTTAGTGTAAAAACAAAATAGTTTCTTTACAGGTTTCAAAAAGTTGTTTCAAAAAAGTGTTGCTAACAAAAGCCTCTGACTTTTTCATTTTAATGGTGTTTAAGTGATAGCGGGCTGAGAAAGAAAAAGCACGGGTTTTTATTAAACTGTGCCATATTGCCCTGTACCAAAATGACAGTTCTTCTAACTATCCCACTCATTTATTAGGGATAGTTTCAGCTCATCATTATTTTTCTAAACCTGGTACTCATTTTCTGAGTACCTATATATAATAGAAGTATATATAAATCAAATATAAACACACCCGTGTTTTCATAGGTCAGCCAGTATCCTATGCCTGCAAAGTACAAACCAGGGAATAGTAAGCTTGTCTTTTTCACCCTACATAGCTCTGTTCCAATGTGCTACTTAAAATCTCAACAGGGCTTCCCTGTAACTCAAGAGCAATGAAGGTTTGCAGCAAACCTTGGGAGCCAAGCTAATAGAAAATTCCAGAGGGGCAGCTGCTCTGAGCTCACTCCAGCAAAACAAAGAAAGTTTTGTGGCACCTGAAAAAAAAAAAAAAATTGAAGCCAGGCGCCAGTTTCTGGGGGCATCGCGTTCTAGTCCATGCAAACTTTTGCCACAGTAAATATGTTGGATTTTAAAGTATCTTTTTTCTCTAACTAAAACTGACAACTGTTTTGATTCTTTTTCGACAGGCAACAAGAGTTGTTTTAAAAAGTGACCTTATGGAGAAGTGTGAGCCAGGAAAGCTCCAAGGATCACAAAATCGTTAGTCTCTAAGGCGCCACAAACCGATTTAAGTGGGTGCTTTAATTCCTGCGACCAAGAGCGTAGGTTGTTACATCTCTTTCATACAATGTTATACACCTTGTGACGTGGGTCCCTTTTGAGGGGATTCAGGCTCCCCTTCCCCATAAAAGAAAAAGGGTGTTTATTCACACTGTCACTTGATTGGCAACAAGCGGGGAAGAGACGGGAAGCCAGTTCTCTGTAGACAGTTCCAAACTGACCCCAACCCTTGTGACAACGATCAATATCTCACCAGCTAGAGCTTAAAAGTGAGATACTGAAATATTCCAGGAATTTGGCACTGCGGTGATGGTTTATAAGGCTAAAAGGAGAACGGAAAGCAAGAGCCCTTTCCAGAACCCTCTCTCCTACTTTGTTTTATAACGCACCATGTTTCTAGCTTTGGACCATCAGTGGCCATTCAAGCCAGTTGCTGGAACCAGGGCTAAAAAGAGCCACCTTGTAACAGGTAGACCAGCAGCCTCAAAAGCTCAGGATCAGGGTGGGTGGGTGGGTGGGTGGGGTGGGGGGGCTTAAAGTAAATCCCTTTGAACTTCCAGGAATGTCCCTGATCTGACCCTTAATTTCCTTCCAGCTGTCCTTCATTACCCTGGCTGCACTTTTGATTCCCTCCATGTGTTCCTTAACTTCAGGATTTATCCCTCAAAGAGCAAGTGGGGAGGGGGGGGGTTCTCAGAGGCTCTACCAGCCCCCCCCCCCACAGTAGCCCTGAAAAGCCAGAGCATGTCCAAGCTTGGATGTCGTAAGGCAATGTTTGGAAACCCCTCCATCAGAGCCAGGTTTTGCATTCACACGTATGTTTGGACTCCAGCGCCCCGTTCCAGTCTGATCCCTCCTGAACACGGGTGTCCGCTTAAAATGAGGGAGCTCCTAATTTTTCAGCCCTTCCGAGGCGCAGCTCCCCTCCTTCATCAAACCGACGCCCAACAGGACAGCAATTGCCCGCAGACAGAAACCGACGGAACTCGAATCGGTTTTCAAAGGCGGCTTAGCCAGGAAAAAGGTCCCAACGCGGCCAGGACGGTCGGTCCTCTCAACAACTTGATCGCAACGCCGCATCTGAGCCGCAGCTCCGCCACTTCTTCCGCTTACGGAGCCCGGGAGACCCCCCCACCCCACCCCTCCCGGGCTTCAACAATCTCCCGGGCCAGCCCGGCTTTCCCCACAACCGGAGCATGGAGCTCCCATCGTCCACAGCCGGCCGCAGTCCCGGCCTGCTCGTTGGGAAATCGGTCCAAAGGCAGGCAGGCAGCCGGCCGGTTAGCTCCGCTTCGCAGCACCCAGGGAACCGCTGCAGTTGCCAAGTTAAGTAACCCAGCTCCCCGTTGATTGTTCTCGTCAGAAGGTTGCAAGAGAGGACCCCGGGACCCCAGGACCCACCGCAAGCGTCGTAAGTCTGAGTCGGCACTCGACGGCCCGAGGGGGAGAAGGCGTCGTCTGCAGCGCGCACCGAAGCGCCAGCCTGGGAAGAGGGGAGACCGCGGGGGAGACCGACCGACCCAGGGGAGCCGCCGCACCCCCAGCCCCTCTCCCGGGCCCTGCCGCTCCCACCCCCGGCCCGCCGGCGCCGCCGCGCACTCACCGCCAGAGCTTGCCCAGCGTCTTGCTGAGCTCGGCGTTGTGCAGGTGCGGGTACTGGTCGGCCAGCTTCCTGCGCGCCGCCTGCGCCCAGACCATGAAGGCGTTCATGGGCCGCTTGACGTGCGGCTTGGCCTTCAGCGCCCCGTGGCCCCGCACCGGCATGGGCACCAGGCTCCAGTCGTAGCCCTTCAGCACCTGCGAGACGGCGTCGCGGATGCAGGCGGGGAAGCGCTCGTCCGCCTCCCCCGCCTCGCCCTTGGCCGAGCGCGGCAGCGGCGGTGGGGGCCCCTCCGAGCCGGCCGGGGAGCAGGGCGCGTCCGAGTCCGAGTCCACGTGCGAGAGGGAGCTGGCCGTGCCGGCCGGGCTGCCCGGCGCCTCCGGGCCTTTGACCTGCTCTTCGGTCATGGTGAGCATCGGCGGGGCGAGCGGGGGACGCCGCCGGGCGGGCAGGGAGCTCCGGACTCAGCCGCCGGCTGGGCTCCTTCTCCCGCTGCCCGGCTCCGGCTCCCTCCGCCGCCACCGCCGCCTCTGCCGTGCGCGCCCAGGCGAAGCGCAGCGCCCGACCTGCCCGACGGCGCCGCTTGATCCAAACGCCGCGGCTCGGCGCGGCCAGCGACTTTCTTCCCCGGCGGGGCGAGCCGGCTCCGCCTCTTCCCGCGTTCCCATTGGCCGGGCGAGAACGGGCTACTCTGCATAAAAGGCGGAGCCGGCTCGCCCCGCCTCTTCCCGCGTTCCCATTGGCCGGCCGAGAACGGGCTACTCTGCATAAAGGGCGGGGCTTCGGCTCTCTCCGGGTTCTTAAAGCGACCCAGGCATGAAAACTGAAATGAAATGAAAAACGGAGGTTGGGGGGGGGGGGGAAAGTTGACAGATGGCTTGTTTGCAGTTTGGCTGCGTGGAAAATTGGGGGGGGGGAGGAACTGTGGAAAATTGAGGGGGGGAGGCAACTGCGAGTGTAAAATTTGGGAGCGCGGTGTAAAATAGTAGTGACTTGGGGAGTAAATGTCCTAGCTGGCTCTTCCCAACGTTGTGCTGGATCCCGACGTGCTGGATCAACACGCGTTCTTCCGTCGAGCCTGGGCTCTGTAGTTCAAGGCATCCGGAGCACTTCAGTTAAAGAGCTTTGCTAGATCGGGCTGGGCTCCAGAAGTCTCCCAAATGCGGCGCGGGGGGCCGAACAAACTATGCCCAGGTTTGCTTCGGATATCTGGAATTGGACCTGGATTGGCCTGAAGGTGGAGGGTGGGCAATGGGACAGAACGGTGCGTCTGATTCATCCACGAAAGTCAGCAGGAAAGCCCCAACCCTCCTCACCCGCCCAGGGTCCAGTGGGGTGCCCTGAGTCGCTTCAGCGCCCGGCCATCGCCCTTCCCTGGAGCCTCTCCCCTTCCCTAGCCAAGCGGGAACTAATCTCTGCAAATGATAACTGCTTTCCTGGCGCTGGGAAATTAGAGAAAGTAGACCAACTCGGTCCGCAGCAATTTTGGATCCAAGTAAAAGCCGGGAAAGTGATTAGGGCGCTGAGTAACGAAGGGTAATTACGTTTACCTCTCCGAGGCTCTGTTCCCACGACACGCTGACTCCCGCTTAAGTAGTCTTGGCTGACTGCGCTTTCCCAAGTGCCTGAGTTCGCGCAACCCGCTGAATCATAAACTCGCCGCTTTAGCCGAAGCTGTGGCGAGCAGAAGCCGGAGCGATCTCCCGGCTTGGCCCATCAGAATTTGGCTGGGCTCAACCACAACAAGGGATTCAGATGATTGTTAGATGCTTGTTTGAATTTTGTACGCCGCCCTGAGTCCTTTGGGATTGGGCGGCATATAAATTAAATAAATAAATAAATAAATTCAGAACCTCACCCGTCTTCTGCTGCACGCTTACCCGCGACTAACCAAGTTAACCACGATTAACCAAGTTAGTCGTTTGTTTGGACTCGCAGGCTACCCACCCCCTTGACAGTCTCGAGCCAAAGCTAAGTGGTAGTTAGCTAGTGTCCGGTTGGGATGGTGTGGGAACGCAGCGTTTCCTCACTTTCTTTGCGAGGGCAAGGAGATCTGGTTTGGCCGACAGAGGAGGCTGGTTTTCGGGGAGGGCTCGGACTGGGACCTGGTTCGGCCCAAGGTGGTTGCGCTCCAGGTTCACGCTGGAATAGCTGCGCTCGCCCACCCACCGGCTGCACCAGCCCCGCTCCTGGGCGAAGGCGGCGAAGCCAAAGCGGGAGGCGCGGAGCTCCGCAGTGTTTCCCAACCTTGACCATTTTAAGGCAATGTGGACTTCAACTCCCAGAATTCCACAGCCAGCATTGCTGGCTGTGGAATTCTGGGAGTTGAAGTCCACATGCCTTAAAATGGTCAAGGTTGAGAAACACTGATATAAAACGTTCCGGGAAGCTGGAGGGGGAAGCCCTGGTGTGAATCCTCTTTTCGCCTCACCCTCCTACCATTGGGTAGGACAGTGTTTCCCAAACTTGACAATTTTAAGGCATGTGGACTTCAACTCCCAGAATTCTGGGAGTTGAAGTCCACATGCCTTAAAATTGTCAAGTTTGGCAAACACTGGGGTAGGAGATGCAGAAACATAGCCAGCCGTACCAAGAGGCTGAAGAACAGCTTCTATCCATGGGCCGTCAGGCTTCTGAATGGGACATAACTTTATAACTTTACGCATGACAGACTCGCGAGGCCGGCGTGATGTGCAATTAGCTCACAGGGGTTGGGAGTTTGTAGTCACTGTGAATTGTGCGGGGGGGGGGTGTCACGTTGGGAGGCTCAGCCAATTTCATTGTATACATGTATACAAAGACACGTTAAAAGCTTCTCTTAAGTCCCTGGATATTTATTTATTTATTTATTTATTTATTTATTTATTTAATTTATGAGACTTATATACCGCTTTAAGTGCAAGCACTCTCTAAGCGGTGTACACCAGTAAGCAATGTATATATACATATTTCCATTGCCCCCAACAATCTGGGTCCTCATTTTACCTACCCCGGAAGGATGGAAGGCTGAGTCAACCTTGAGCCGGTGAGATTTGAACCACTGACCTGCTGAACGCAGTCAGCTAAAGTGGCCTGCAGTACTGCACTCTTAACTGCTGCGCCACCTCAGCTCATTAACACCATCTCTTGGGAACTTCTGGCGCGTGATCGACTGACATGGCGCACCTTGGTGTACCAGAGTTGCCAGACATATGAACACAGAAGGTCAATCTTGGCACAAGAGAAGCGAGCACTCCGCAAAGCCAGAGCTGTAAATGCTGAAGTAACAGTGTCTACACTTCTTTGTTCAGTATGTGGCAGAACATTCCGTGCTAACATCGGTCTTATTAGCCACCTACGGACACATCGCTGATGGCCCATAACCCCCAAGATGTCAAGGTCTTCATCGAAATCGATGGACGAACAACACATACATGTTATACTTTGATCATAAAGGTTCCTTCATTCTCCCTCGGAGCAAGACGCGTTTATGACCGACGCTCAAGTCATTTTCTGCCCCCAAAGGTTGTGGGGTCTGTAAGCGAAGGGCCTGCGCCTCTTTCTTTGGTGGGAAAAATGGAGCTGCGCCGGAGTGGGGCAGTCTACCTCTAAGGAAGGCTAGTTTAAGGGCTTCAAGAGATTCTTACATTTTAGGCTAACTTCTTAGGCCGCGGTTAAACCATAGACTGTTGCGCACAACGCAGCCCGTTTGGATTGAGTCTACAAAGAACCGCGGTTAAGCGGGTCACACATCTAAGCGCCGAGCCAGGCCGGTTGAAGGTGGGGGTGAGGGGGGGTTCCAGATTGGGGAGGGGGGAGGGGGGGAGTGGGCAAAGTCAGCTTCTGCCCTCAGGCGTCATCAGCCCAAAGACGGACAGGGGAAGGGGGGGTCTTTGGGGGCAGAGAACACAACTGGGGAGGGGGCAGCAAAGGCAGGGCTGAATCTGCGATCTGTTCCCACTTCTGCAGAAGCTGCACCGGGCATGCAGCTGCGTTGGCTTGCCGTACCCAGCCGCCATCTATTAAACGGGCCTCCCATGACACAACGTCCATTTTTGCCTCGGTGGCACCAAGTTAAGATCCCAGCAGAGGAGCGGCGGGCGGGGAAGAAGCGCCTTTGCAGAATGAAGCGATCCAGAAAACCTTTTGCCACAACCTGACGCGCCCGGCTGCTCCTAGAACGCGCCAGACACAAACTAACCATGTTTCAGCCCACCTGTTTATCGTGAGGGTCCAGTGGCTGCCTGGCCAAGAAGGATTTGGCCTTGGCAACCTGAACGCGGTGCGCGCGTGCTCCAATAGGAACGGCGAAGTACCCGTGTCGTGTGAACATGGCTCCCCGCCCAGAGGAAAAACGGCAGTGGCGTGTAATCTCCGTCCGGCTACCTTTTCCCGGATCCAAGTGAAGCCCCCGTTCCTGTTAGCAAATAATTTTTGCGGATGGTGAGAGACCCAACAGCTGAAAGTTGTGGTGTGGGCTAACTTTGGCTCCCTGGGGGAGTTAGTTGGGTGAAATCGCTGAAAGTTCCGTGTCTTTCTGGCCCCAGGGATTAATTCGCCCCCCCCCGAAGTAAAATGTATCGTGTGAACGCAGCCAGCGCCCCTTCCGCTCCAGCATCCGTGTTCCGCTTAAGACATAGAAACCTGCAAGGGGCGGGTCGGGCCCGGGCTAGTCGCGAACCACCTAAGCCAGTGTTTCTCAACCTTGACCATTTTAAGGCATGTGGACTTCAACTCCCAGAATTCCACAGCCAGCATTGCTGGCTGTGGAATTCTGGGAGTTGAAGTCCACATGCCTTAAAATGGTCAAGGTTGAGAAACACTGATCCTAAGCCGAGCGCGGGTTGCGAAGAGGGAGAAAGCGAAGGCAGCAGGCTGGCTGCTACAGATCCTGTCGGGGCTACCAACCTGAGCTCGTAGCATGGGCAAATCCGGGGTGGTGCGGCAGCGATCCTAAGGGCCCGCCTAGCGTGAGCGCACCGTAGAATCCAAAAGGCAGGAGGCGGGGCCTGTTTCCCCACGCATCTCTCTTGCAAAGAAGCCCCAGAGGTGCTTTTTTCACGAGGCAACTGGACGCTCTCATTTTCCTTTGAAGACATTTCACTTCTCATCCCAGAAGCTTCTTCAGCTCTGACTGGATGGTGGAGAATTCCACAAGAACAGAAGAGCAGAAGAAGCTTCTGGGATGAGAAGCGAAACGTCTTCAAAGAAAAACCAGAAAGTCCAGTTGCCTCTGAAAAAAGCACCTTTGGGACAACCAGGACCTGGATGACTGAGGATCTCCATGGGCATCAAGCCCTGGCTTGCCCTAGCTCTGCTAGCTGCAGTCTCTGCTACCTTTGAATCCCCTATCACCATGGTGGCGAACCTATGGCACGGGTGCCAGAGGTGGCACTCAGAGCCCTCTCTGTGGGCACGCGCGCCCTCACCCCAGTCCTAGGCCTTCAGCTGGGTTTTATAAAACCTTTTCGCTTTAGGCAGCGATGGCGAACCTTTTAGAGACCGAGTGCTCAAACTGCAAGCCAAAACCCACTTATGCATCGTCGGGTGCCGGGTGGGTAAGGCCCATTGGGTGGGTGTGGCTCATTTGGTGGACATGGCTGCGGTGGTAACGGCAGACTGGGTGGGACTAAAAAGTTCAATCAATCAATTCCAACTTTGCAAGATTTTTTTTCCCTGCGAGAAGTTGAAATTGACAGATTGAACCTTTTTTTTTTTTTTTTGCACACGGTGGCAGAGGCCTAAAGCGAAAAGGTTTTATAAAACCCATCCTGTGCAAATGTTGAAGAATTTGCTGCCCTTTCTAAGACACGAGAGAAGACTAGATAGACCAGTGATGGCGAACCTTTTAGAGACTGAGTGCCCAAACTGCAACCCAAAACCCACTTATGCATCGTCGAGTGCCGGGTGGGTGTGGCCCATTGGGTGGGTGTGGCCCAGTGGATGGGCGTGGCTGCTGTGGTAATGGCAGACTGGGTGGGACTAAAAAGTTCAATCAATCAATTCCCACTTTGCAAGAACTTTTTTTTTCCCGTGAGCAGTTGAAATTGACTTCTTCTCTTTTTTTTGCACACGGTGGCAGAGGCCTAAAGCGAAAAGGTTTTATAAAACCCAGCTGAAGGCCTAGGACTGGGGCGACGGCGCGCATGCCCACAGAGAGGGCTCTGAGTGCCGCCTCTGGCACCCGTGCCATAGGTTCGCCACCACTGCAATAGAGGTTGTAAGTTAAAGATTATATATATTTAGTTTTTTAATCGCACTTTTATTTCTACCTCTCCAAGTAAGGTAGTTAATGCTCTTCCTTCCCACTTCCCCGGACAATAACAACGCTCCGAGGCAGGTTGGGCTGAAAGAAGGGGACTGGTCCAAAGCCACTCTGCTGCCTTTTACACTTAAGGGAGGACTAGAACCCACAACCACCCAATGTTTAGACCCTCAGGTTCACCATTACACCAAGCCTGAGAAACTGCAGATTTTATAAAAGCAAAAAAAAAAAAAAAATCCCTTTAAAATCATTTCCTTGAGATTGTTCCGCTGAAGTTGGAAAAAGCCCCTTGCTTTCCACAGAAAAGAGGAAACTCGTGGGCCAGATACTTGGCAGAATCTTGGTCAACCCCAAGGTTATCCATTCTTGACTTTTACACGACTGGCTTCAGCAAATAAGGAAGGTGGCATTTAAGAAAACGTTTTTTATTTTCAGTTTGAAGCATACCAAACCTTTTGCCCAGGACTTTCAGTGGCAAGGAAAAGTCCCTCTCAAAGCACACTGCTGTGTTTTTCCAGTTCAACTCCAGTCCCCATGCTCCCCAGCCAACTTATCCCTACTCATCTGCCACTTAAAAGTGGCCATAGATTTGGCAAGTGGTCCCTACACTGCGCAAGATGTGGCTCTCTGCGGAGGTAATTCATTCCATGCCTAGACTCAAAAGTCCAAGGAGATTCTCAGTCATCTAGGTGGTTCCAAAAGGTGGAGATTCTTTGTTTTTTTCCTTGAAGATGTTTCTTTTCTCATCCAAGAACTGAAGAAGCTTCTTGGATGAGAAGTGAAACATCTTCAGGGAAAAACAAAGAAAGTCCAATTGCCTTTTGAAAAAGCATTTTTGGGCCTGGACTTACATAGAATGGAATAGAATTCTTTACTGGCTAAGTGTGATTGGACATTCAAGGAATTTGTCTCTGAGCTCTCAGATACAACAACAAAGTGATAACAACAAGACTTACATGTACACAACAACAAAGTGATAGGTCATAGATGATAATCATAATTACAATCAATCATAAGATACAAACAACAAGTGACAAATCATAAGACACCAATAAGAGAAGATAGTGGGAAAAATGAGAACACGAGAAAGATGATAATAGCAATACAGATAGTCCTCAACTTACAAAAAATCATATGGTGACCATTCAAACTTACAATGGCACTGAAAAAAGTAACTTATGACCGGTTTTCACACTTACGACCATTGTAGCATCCCCATGATCATGCGATCAAACTTCAGATGCTTGGCAATTGACTCATACTTGTGACCGTTGTGGTGTCCCAAGGTCATGTGATCACTTTTTGCAACCTTAGACAAGCAGTCAATGGGGAAGCCAGATTCACTCTTAAGAACTATATTACTAACTTAATAACTGCAGTGATTCACTTAACAACTGTGGCAAGAAAGGTCGTCAAATGGGGCCAAACTCCCTTAACAAATGTCTCACTTAGCAACATACGTTTGGGGTTCAATTGTGCTCGTAAGTCGAGGACTACCTGTACAGCCCACAACATGGGGAAGCAACCTGGACTGGGTCTTTGCAAGACCAGCTGAAATGCCTGCGGCCCTCCACGGCCATCTTGTGCGCCCCCTGTCCCCATGCGCCCTTGGGCTTGGCAACTGACTCATATTTACGATGCTTGCAGTGTCCTGGGGTCACATGATCAAGTTTGACATCGTTCTAACAAGCAAAGTCAATGGGGAAGCTAGATTCACTTAATGTCCGTGTTACTCACTTAACAACGAATAGAATAGAATAGAATGAAATGGAATAGAATAGAATAGAATAGAATAGAATAAGAGTGGAATGGAATGGATGGAGTGGAATGGAATAGATAGAATGGAATAGATGGAATGGAATGGAATGGAATAGAGCTGGAAGGGGACCTTGGAGGTCGTCTAGTCCAGCCCCCTGCTCAGACAAATATCCAGTCTCTTCTTGAAAACCTCCAGTGATAGAGTGCCTAAAACTTCCAGAGGTAAACCACTTCCCTGAATACTGAATAGAATAGAATAGAATAGAATAGAATAGAATAGAATAGAATAGAATAGAATAGAATAGAGCTGGAAGGGGACCTTGGACCTCCAGCCCCCCCCCCCTGCTCAAGCAGGGAAACCTGTACCATCTCAGACAAGAGACTCAACACCGGCTTCTCCCTCACCGAAGAGATCCGCGGGCAAGAGGCAGCCGCGGGGGAAGCGGCGCCCGCAAGCCCGGGGCCGGGAAGCGCTGGGCTCGGCGGGGCGGGGCAGGCGCGCCCCCTTTTGCCCCCCCTCCCTGCCCGGACAACCCCGGCTCGCGCGCGCCTCCGCCAATGAGCGCGCGCTCCGTGGCGGCTCCCGCGGCGCGCATGCGCCCTGCCCCAATCCGGCAGGCATGGCTGCGAGCGCCGGGGAGCCGCTGAGGCGGCGGCCGCGGCGGGGGGCAGCCGGACCGGCGGGAGACGCCCCCGACCCCCGGGAGGTGCGCGACCCTCCGGCGCCTCCCCTGCGCCCCGGCTCCTTCTGGCTGACGCGGCTGGCGCTGGTGCGCGCCACCGCGCTCATTTACTGTAAGTGCCTGGCCGGGGGGGGGCAGGGGGGCCCCCGGATTGCCCTCCCCCCTCCCCGGCGCCCCTTTTGCAGCGCAGCTCTCCCCCCCGCTTGGGTCGAGCCTTCTCCTCCCCCCCCTCCCCTGCTAGTCTGGCTGTCCTAAAGTTGCAGCTGGGGGGGGGTCAAGGTGGTGGGGGATTATGGGAGTTTGGATTGCAGCCCGGTCTGGCTGGGGTCCAGCTCACGGGCGAAGCTTGGCTCCAGAAATCCTGGGCGCTCCATCGCTGGAGGGTTTTAGAAAGAGACTGGAAAGCCACTTGTTTGAAATGGTATAATAGGGTCTCCTGCTTGAGCAGGGGGCTCGTCTAGAAGACCTCTGAGGTCCCTTCCAACTGTTATAATGCTATCCTGCCTTCCTTCCTTCCTTCCTCCCTCCCTCCCTCCCTCCCTCCCTGGAAGCTTTTAAGAAGATCCTGGAGAGCCACTTGTCTGGCATGGTCTAGGGTGGAATGGGCAGGGGGTTGGACTAGAAGACCTCCAAGGACCCTTCCAGCTCTGTTCTGATGTTCTTGGTTAGTCCAGTTAGTCCAGTTCTGAATGAGGGCTAGCAAGGGAGTGCTTCAGGGGAAAAGAAAAGATGGTGAGCGAACCATGATGGAGAGGCACAGCTGCACTGGGAGGGAAACCTCGGTGGTCAGATTCGCATGACATGCAAGACACGTGACACTGCACTGGGTTGTGAGAATAGCTGCACCAAGGCCGGGTCAGATAAGAGACCACCAAGTCCAAAGCCCCACTGGAATTCGAGAAAGCATCTCAAACTGGTTCCCTTAAGGCAGGAGTCTTCAAACTTGGCCCTTTTATGACTTGTGGACTTCAACTCCCAGAGTTCCTCAGCCAGGCATGCTGGCTGAAGAATTCTGGGAGTTGAAGTCCACAAGTCATCAAAGGGCCAAATTTGAAGACCCTTGCCCACAGAGCAGGGAGGCAGGGGAATGTCAAGAGTCCTTTTTCCTAAGAAGGAATATCTGGCAGTGTCTTCAAAGAAGGGCCCTCTCCGTGGTGGCTCCCTCCCTTTGGAACTCATCCCTGCGGAGATTAGATTTATTTATTTACAAAATGAATTGGCTGCTCTTCTTACCATAGAGCAGGGGTCTTCAAACTTGGCCCTTTTATGACTTGTGGACTTCAGTTCCCAGAATTCCTCAGCCAGCATGCCTGGCTGAGGAATTCTGAGAGTTGAAGTCCACAAGTCATAAAAGGGCCAAGTTTGAAGACCCCTGCCATAGAGTCACTCTTCTAACCACAGAGTTACATATAAGCTAAAACATGAAAAGTTAAAAACAAACATTAAAACCAAAGACACATGGGGAGGGCGGGAATGGAGCGTGGGGGGGGGGAGATGGGAATCTGTTATTACCGGATCGACCACCTCCATTGTGCTGATCCCCCACTGGAGACCCAAGCCAACGGGCACAGCCCTTAGGAAAAGATAGGAGGGTTGGGGTCAACCTCACATGGGGGGGGCAAGATGTTCCAGAGAGCAGATTGCCCCCCCCTTTGATACTCTTTCACAAGACGTGGTTTTGCCAACGGGCCTGGGGAATCTAGAGTGGGATGGAATCCATCAAGTGGCTTATCCGATTGACGGTTGTTGCTGGAAGGGGGTGAAGGGACATTATTTTTATTGTTTGTGTATTGGGTTTTTATTTTTTTCTAAGCTGCCCAGAGTCACCAAGAGTGAGTGCTTGGCCATATAAATTCTTCATATATATAAATATATATATATATATATATATATATATATATATATATTTCAACAACAAAAAACTTGCCATAGGAAGAATGATGGAACGAAGGAGGACTGTAAAAGAAACACGAAATGCACGTTGCCATTTACCCCCGAGGGAAAAGAGCTCAAATATAGGGACTGTTGCAACCATAGAGACACTTGCCCGCTCACCTCACGACTGAGGGGGAGAGGGATGGAGGAGGATGAACGGACGGTTGAGATGAATAGAAAGGAGCAGACCAGCCGCACGCAGTTATCCTATTTAGGCCCGATGACGAGGTCGAGGAGTCGTGCGCAGACTTCACCACACCTATAAGAATGACTCTCCCACTCCCTGGCGCACTAGCCCTGAGGATGCCGGCAGGTGACGGCGAAAGCTAGGCGCTTTTTAATAAAATTTTATAATTTTACTACCCTGGTGATCATTTTATTTCCTATCATATATATATATATATATATATATATATGAAAGGGGCCAGTGATGGAGCTGAGGACCAGCCCTCTTTCTTCTGAAGAAAGATGAACCAGAAGGGAAGTGTCAAGGTGGGAAGACAGTTTGGTCTAGGGCAGTGGTTCTCCACCTGTGGGTCGGGACCCATTTGGGGTCGAACGACCATTTCACGGGGGTCGCCAAACAACGCAGTCCGCCATTTTTTTCCCCATTTTCCTTAGCTGTGCTACTCCCTTTTATTCTATTGGCTTTTGAAAGCCAATAGAATAGACTCTCTTGAATAGAGTCTAATTCTATTGGCTTTCAAAAGCCAATAGGAATTGTCCAGGCTGTCTCTGCCCTGCTGAGCCCGCCAAAAGTCCCATTCTGCAAACGGTGCTGCACCAGTTGAGTAGTCCTCGACTTACGACCGGTTGAGTAGTCCTCGACTTACGACCGGTTGGGGGTCGTGGCATTAAAAAGGTTGAGAACCACTGGTCTAGGGCAGGGGTCTTCAAACGTGGCCCTTTTATGACTCGTGGACTTCAACTCCCAGAATTCCTGAGTGAGCTATGCTGGCTCAGGAATTCTGAGAGTTGAAGTCCACGAGTCATAAAAGAGCCAAGGTTGCCTACCCCTGGTCTAGGGCAGGGGTCTTCAAACTTGGCCCTTTTATGACTTGTGGACTTCAACTCCCAGAATTTCTCAGCCAGGCATGCAAAGTTGACTTGATCTTTGTTGGGGATCAGCAAAGAAAGCATGACTTGGTGGTTCTTCTTGATCTCTCAGCACATTTTGAGACCACAAAGGCTGATCTCCATCCAACAATAGGAGGCATTTGCTTTGTTCTTGTCTCTCAGGTAGGTTTCTGACGGTTTCTGTTGGAGATGATTGGCTTCAATTGCTTCTGAGAATGGGAGCTTTTTGGTGGCTTCCTCCATAGGTCTATTGTATCTTCAGTATTTCTCAATATCTATATGGAATTGTTGGGGCAAATTTTCAGACCTGGAGTAAGATGCTGCTAATATGTCGATGACGGCCAGATCTTTTTCTCCATGACAGGGGTCTTCAAACTTGGCCCTTTTATGACTTGTGGACTTCAACTCCCAGAATTCCTCAGCCAGGCACACACGTGCCTGGCTGAGGAATTCTGGGAGTTGAAGTCCACAAGTCATAAAAGGGCCAAGTTTGAAGACCCCTGGTCTAGGGTCTCCTTGCATGAGCAGGGGCTTGGAGTAGAAGACCTCCAAGGTCCCTTCCAACTCTGAGGATGAAGGTGGCATTTTCAAGAGAAGAAAGTCTACATGGTGTTGATAACACCTCCCCAAAAAGTGCTTGTCTAATGGACTTTGTTATGACAAGATCAGCAGGGAAGGGAAAGACGTAGACCAGGGGTAGGCAACCTTGGCTCTTTTATGACTCGTGGACTTCAACTCCCAGAATTCCTGAGCCAGCAGGAATGAAGTCCACGAGTCATAAAAGAGCCAAGGTTGCCTACCCTTGACATAGACCAAAGTTGTGCTTTTCAGAATAGCTTTCCCCGAAGACACCTGCCCATCCCATGTGCTTCAGGTCCTTTCCCGGAAACAATGCCATCTCACGGGATCCAGGAGATACGGCAGGCCCCAAATCCAGTTGACCTTTGGCAGGTCCATGAAGAAAGGCTTTTTCTTCCAGCCCTGGAGAATTGGAGTTCCCATCTGCAGATGGGTATGAACATGCGTTCCTGGTCACCTCGTAATGTTTTGGATTGTAGCTTGGATTTTTAGCTTCTGTCCAAATGCTGGAGTTGCAATGTTTAAGTTAGGTGCCATATCAGTTGGAAGGAACTGATGGACTGATGGAAAGAATCACACCCTTTGAATGAAAAAGAGAGGACTTTGGGGGTCATTTTTTTTTTACCTCCCTAAAAATATTGTTAGGAGGCCTATCTGGACTTAGTTTTGGAGAAAGGTGAGGTCAGTTTGGATGAAATTTTGTCCTCTTAGACCTGATTAAGAGGCACGTGGGGTATCTTCCACCTTTTTATCTCAGTATTTTATTTATTCCCGAGGTTACTTCTTGTTATTTTGGAACAAGGACTTGGTGTCAGCATTGGTCTTGAAGGAAAGACTCTTCTTGCGGCTAAATGTGTCCTCCTTGAGGTTTCTTTTGTGTAACCTGCATGTAAATACAGCGTACACACTTTTTTTTCCCTTACCCCTTTTGGCAATGTGTATTTTCCCCTAATTTGCTCTTCTCTTGTTTATGTTTGCACTTAAGCCTGGGGTTTAATTTGGACTTTTTTGTGCAGCTGATGAGCAGTTTAGAGGGGTAGGGCAGCAATTTTGAGGTAGGTTTTGATTACCACTTGCAAGAAAATCTCCTTAGCAAATTGCCATGTTAATCAAAGTTAATTAGGTTGTGGAAGACGTGACCCTCCTCTCCCATACCAAGGAAGTGGATTTTTATTTTTAAACAAGATGATTTGGGGGAATTGTATGAAGGAAGGTCCTGGGTTCAGTTGGATACCTTAAGATGGGATGGCCAAAGGCTCCACGTGGACAAGTGATGGCTTCTCTTAATAGGAACAGCTACAGATGTCTCATTTCTTCCCCAAGGCTTATTGGCTGTTGATGGGTTTTTTAGTTGTTCTCCACCAAAAAACCTGCAAGTAACCATGATATGATTTCTCATGGTGTGTCAGTAAACCCAATCCTGAGATATTTGAAAGGCCACAAAAGCGGAGCTTTCACGCAGGCACTTTGTTATTCGTCCTTGCTTTTGACGAGAGTCTCTTATTTATGCAGGCAAAAGTTTTTAACTGATGCATTCAGGCAACCATTGCAAACTATTTGGGTCAGGAAAACCATTCTTCCAAACTCTGAGGGAAAAAGTATTAATCCAAGTGTGTGACTGTATATGGGCACTCTTTATATGGCTTCCTATAGCTTTGAGATATATACATATGTGTGTATACACACAAAGATGTATGTGTGTGTGTGTGTGTGTGTGTATGTATATTCTATTTAGAATAGAATAGAGCTGGAAGGGACCTTGGAAGTCTTCTAGTCCAGCGGTCCCCAACCCCTCGTCCGTGGACCAGTACCGGGTTGCGGCATGCCAGCAACTGGTCCGCACAAACGAGCAAAGCCCCATCAGCGGAATGCAGGCAACACACAAAACCATGCACTCTGTGGTCTGCGGAAAAACCTCTGTCCGTGGAGCTGGTCCCTGGTGCCCAAAAGGACCTCTGTTCTAGTCCAGCCCTCTGCTCAAACAGGAGAACCTATACCATTTCAGACAGTGTGTGTGTGTTTGTGTTTGTGTGTGTGTGTGTGTGTTTAATAGTAGTAAAGTTGGAAGGGACTTTGGAGGTCATCTAGTCCAACCCCCTGCTCAGGCAGGAAACCCTACACCATTTTGGACAAGTGGCTGTCCAGTCTCTTCTTAAAGACTTCCAGTGTTGGAGCATTTACTGCTTCTGGAGGCAGGCTGTTCCACTGATAATTGTTCTCCTGTCAGGCAGTTTCTCCTTAGTTCTAGGTGGCTTCGTCTCCTTGATTAGATTTCCACCCGTTGCTTCTTGTCCTGCCTTCAGGCACTTTGGAGAATAGCTTGGCTCCCTCTTCTTTATGGCAGCCCCTGAGATATTGGAATACTGCTATCATGTCCCCCCTTGTCCTTCTCTTCGTTAAACTAGACATACCCAGTTCTAGCAACCGTTCCTTATATGTTTTAGTCTCCAGTCCCCTAATCATCTTTGTTGCTCTTCTCTGTAGTCTGTACTCCTCTGTACTCTGTACTCTTTTGTGTACTCTTGTGTATATATGTGTATGTATGTATGTATTGGGGCAGTTTAAAAGGGTCACCTGGTTAATTGGAAAGTAAAGCAAATGCTATAATTATTATATTGATTATGAGTGAAATGATATGAACTGTAAGAGTCAGCTTGGGGTAGTGGTTAAGGTAGCAGGCTAGAAGTTGGGAAGTTGTGAATTCTAGTCTTGCCTCAGACCTGGAAGCCAGTCAGATGACCTTGGGCCAGTCCCTCTCCTTTAGACCTAAGGAGGCAAGGGCAAAAGTCTTGCCAGTCTCCAGTTGGACTGCATAATAAAATCCAATCTATGACTTACATATATCAAATGATCTTCTCTGTATATTCTCACCTGGGCCTTATCTAATGGGGACCTTCTCCAGTCTTTTCACCAAAGGAGGTGGGATGAACCTCTGCCAGGGAAAAGCTTTTTATAGAGTGGCTCCCCATATACGAAAAGTGTTTGCCAGAGGCTCACGTGGTCCCCGTATTCGCATCATTTTAGCACCGTTTCCCCAAGCCTTTAAACTAGCTTTTAATTGTCTTTGATTCATGTCATTTTAAAATTTGAAAGTCTACCTTCCTCCTCCTGCTGCTGCTGCTAGTTCCTATGGCATTTTCATTTTGCATTTTTATTTGATTTTACCTAGATAAGTTTTTATTCGAATGGTATCTTTTAGAGTGTTGGATTGTAAACTGTCTCAACAATTTTGGCAATTGGGTGGTTTAATTTTTTTCTACAAATAATAAAAAGTAAATACTGTACCTACGTCGTGGTTGGATGGCCACAATACAGAGTCACACCTGAATGAACAACACACTTGCCTTTTTCTTGATTTTTCTCCGCCGTATGGGAGGTAGATGGGGCCCAAGCTATAACTCAGTGGTTCTCAACCTGTGGGTCAGGACCCCATTTGGGGTCAAACGCCCATTTCACGGGGGTCGCCAAACAACGCAGTCCGCCATTTTGTTCCCCTTTTCCTTAGCTGTGCTACTCCCTTTTATTCTATTGGCTTTTGAAAGCCAATAGAATAGACTCTCTTGAATAGAATCTAATTCTATTGGCTTTCAAAAGCCAACAGGAATTGTCCAGGCTGTCTCTGCCCTGCTGAGCCCGCCAAAAGTCCCATTCTGCAAACGGGGTGCACCAGTTGAGTAGTCCTCGACTTACGACCGGTTGAGTAGTCCTCGACTTATGACCGGTTGGGGGTCGCAGCATTAAAAAGGTTGAGAACCACTGCTATAACTAGATTTAAAGGTAAGACCAGTGCCTTGGCTGAGGGTTCAAGTTCACATATTATGCTACGCCCGGGGTGTCAAACTCGCAACGTCACATGACATGTCGCGACGTATCAGCCGTTATATAGTGAGTTTGCCCTTTCACCTTGAAACTGACTGAATTTTCAAAGTGAAAGGACAAATATCCAGTATTTGAGGGGCTGTCACAAAGATAAAGGGGACAAACAAGAAGCAATGGATGGAAACTCATCAAGGAGAGAAGCAACCTAGAACTAAGGAGAAAATTCCTGACAGTGAGAACAATTAACCGGTGGAACGGCTTGCCTTCAGAAGCTGTGAATGCTCCAACACTGGAGGTTTTTAAGAAGAGACTGGACAGTCACTTGTCTGAAATGGTATAGGGTCTCCTGCTTGTGCAGGAAGTTGGACTAGATGACCCCCAAGGTCCCTTCCAATTCTGTTATTCTATGTTATTCAATTCCTGGAGAGGTTCAAATGTAGATTGTTAATCTCTTGGATTCCTCCTCACTATTGTTGTTGTTGTTCCTTTCAGTTGTTGCCTTTCTGGTTGCCTACCATCAAAACAAAGCACTTATTGGGGACCGAGGGCTTCTGCCGTGCAAGCTGTACCTGGAGAATGTGAAGCGCCATTTCAAGGGCAGAATAAACATGGAGACATTAAGCTATGCCCCAACTTTGATCTGGTTCCTGGACTGGTCCAGCATGGACAGCATCCTTGATGCCTTCGCTCTCATTGGTTTGGCCATCTCAGCTTTTGTCCTGGTCACTGGATGTGCCAACATGATTCTCATGGCTGCTGTGTGGATAATCTACCTCTCCTTAATTAACGTGGGACAGATCTGGTAAGCCATCTCGTTTCTTACTTTTCTGCTTGAGGCTAGCAATAGCAATAACAATTAGACTTATATACCACTTCACGATGCTTTACAGCCCTCTCAGTGGTTCACAGAGTCAGCCTGTGGCCCCCAACAATCTGGGTCCTCATTTTACCGACCTCGGAAAGATGGAAGGCTGAGTCATCCTTGAGCCGGCCAGGATCGAACTGCTGGCAGTAGGTAGAATTAGCCTGCAATACTGCATTCTGACCACTGTACCACTGTGGCAATAGAATATAATGAAATAAAATAGCACTTAGACTAATATTCTGCTTTTACAGCCCTCTCTAAGCAGTTTACAGAGTCAGCCTGTGGCCCCCAACAATCTGGGTCCTCATTTTACCGACCTCGGAAGGCTGAGTCATCCTTGAGCCGGTGAGAGGGCTCCAGGCATTGAGCAGCTTATGAACAGAGCATGTGATGCTCCCTTTGCTGTGCACACTTGCTCTCCCAAATGGAGGCGTGAGCTGAATTTGTTGCTTGCAACTCCCTATCTCACAAGGCACCTTTTGAAAAGCAGCTCCTTTCATGCACGTGGTTCACTTTAGCGCTGTGGTTTTGTAGAAATAGCTTTGGATATTTGAGACTGGATTGTTAGGCTAAGGTTACCTGGGGTAACCTTATGGAGTCAGTGGACGGAGTTGGTTTTTGCCCACTTGCTGGGGTAATTTATGGCAGCTGGTAATCAAGAGCTAATGGCAGTTTGATCAAGGGTGATGATAACACAAGGAAGAGAAATTCCTGTTTTACTCCAGTCTCCATTTATCTTCATTTTAGTGATAGCACAATATGGGAAAGGGCTGTGTGAAAGGATCCTATTTCTGAGATTGTTCAGTTGCGGTTATATTTGGTGGGTTTTTTTTAAAAAAAAATCAAATTCCCAGCAAGGGGTCAAGACCATGTCATTATTGTTGTGTTTACACTGCAGTGAGAGTTGCTTAGAGAGATGGTTGTGGATGATGCAAATGGAGGTTATTTGGGGGGGGGGGTAATTAGTAAGTTCCCCCCTGCTCAATTCAGATTGTAAACCCCTTTCCAATGGAAGTTGGACCTGGGGTTGGGTAGCTTCCAGGAGAAAATTATTTTACTTTATCTTCCCCAGTAGCCAGGATAGCTAAAAATTCTCACCGTGTTTATTTTATTTTTTAATGCCTTTCTGGAGTATCCTCTTGAGCCAATTGTGCCTGATTCTTGAGATTGCAATTTAAGAAAGTAAAGACCCTTTTGAGGGAAGCTTGACTCTTGCCAACCACATCCAATAAAATGTTTCTTTTGAAGCAATAGAGAATGAACTGGTTTGCCGTTTCCTTTTTCTAGGACTTGTTTGGACCAGGAAGCCCCAAATGTCCTGTGAACCACCTTGAGTTGCCATGTGCGAGTAGGTGGCAACATAAATTTGATAGGTAGATAGATAGATAGGTAGGTAGGTAGGTAGGTAGGTAGGTAGGTAGGTAGATAGATAGATAGAGACAGACAGACAGACAGCAGAGAGATATGGATGGATAGATAGATAGATAGATAGATATGGATGATAGATAGATAGATATAGATAGATATAGATATAGATGGATGGATGGATGGATGATAGAGATAGAGAGAGAGAGAGAGAGATAGATAGATAGATAGATAGATAGATAGATGATAGATAGATAGATAGATAGATAGACAGACAGAGAGAGATATATGGATAGATAGATAGACTGATAGATAGATAGATAGATAGATAGATAGATAGATAGATAGATAGATAGATAGATAGATAGATATGGATGATAGATAGATAGATAGATATAGATAGAGATATGGATGGATAGATAGATATGGATGGATAGATAGATATAGATAGATATGGATGGAAGATAGATAGATAGATAGATAGATAGATAGATAGATAGATAGATAGATAGATGATAGATAGACAGAAAGAGATATGGATGGATAGATAGATAGATATGGATGATAGATAGATAGATAGATAGATAGATAGATAGATAGATAGATAGATAGATAGACTGACAGACAGACAGACTAGAGATACTGCATTTCATTTTAAATACAGAAATACTTTGAAACATATGAAGACTGGACACTCATCTCAGTCCTATATGTGAAGAAATTCCAAACTCACTTGAAACCTGTTGATTCTATGAAATACCCCATCAGCAGCACCAGATAGATAGTCCGGATGAATCTAGAACAGGGGTAGGCAACCTTGGCTCTTTTATGATCGTGGCTGAGCCATCCCCTCATTCCAACAGGCTGGACCCACAGCTCATGTTGCAATGCCCAGGCAAATTCAGAAGGGTGCCGTGGGGTGTTCTACTACATACTTAATAAAAGGAGCATGTTGGGCATTGTGGCTCACTGTTTGGGAACTTCCGGGTCACCCTGAACTGAGTTTGGGAACTTCTGGGCTAGAGTGAGAAATTAGAACAACTATCAGAGAAACCCCTGAGCTGTTTTTGTAGTATTACCAGGACAGCTCAGTGGACGTGTGGACAACCAGTGAAGTTTGACTTGGAGGAACATTCTTTTTCCATTCAGTGGGAATGAAATGAATTGCTTCCAGAATTTTACCACTGTTGTCACATTAAATATCACAACTGGTTTAACGTGACAAGGTCAGTGGCCTTTGGAGGGACTTTGATCTGTCTTCTCCAAGCTTAGATCTTGCTATGCCAAAGGAGACCAAATTATATAAGGTCGTCACCATCCTCTCATCTCCCTCCTATTATAGGTAGTCAATCAATCAATCAGAATAGAGCTGGAAGAGATCTTGGAGATCTTCTAGTCCAACCCCCTACTCAAGCAGGAGATCCTATACCAGTGATGGCGAACCTTTTAGAGACCAAGTGCCCCAAAACTGGCACTGCCCCATTCTACCCCCTGCCCCACCCCTGCTCCGCCCCCACCCCGTCCCCACCCCACCTGCCCAAAGGGCCACTCACTGCCTCCAGGGCCCACCGCAGATTGCCCAGGCAGCCCAGCAGTGCCATGGCGGCCACCCCCTCTGCCCGCACCCCGCAGCATCAACTGTGCAGGATGGGGCATGAGGGCAGAGTCTTATTTACACTGCCTGGCTGCCATGTCCTTGGCTGTCCTGCTCCGTGTGTGCCACGCTCGGGGGCGACTCTCCTCCAGGGGGGCTGCTGGTGAGAAGGGGGTCATGGGGGAAGGCAAGGCTGGAGCAACACCTCCAGAGAGGACTCCGAGTGCCGCCTCTGGCACGCGTGCCATAGGTTCGCCACCACTGTCCTATACCATTTCAGACAGATGGCTATTTAGTCTCTTCTTAAAAATCTCCAGTGATGAAGCACCCATGATTTCTGGAGGCAAGCTATTCCACTGGTTAATTGTCCTCCCTGTTAGGAAGTTTCTCCTTAGTTCCAGGTTGCTTCTCTCCTTGACTAGTTTCCATCCATCGTTTCTTGTCTTGCCCTCTGGTGCTTTGGAAAATAAGTTGATTCCTTCCTTTTTGTGGCAACTCCTTAAATACTGGAATATTGCTATCATGTCACTCCTACTCCTTCATTTCTTCAGACTGGCCATACCCAATAGTCCTCGGCTTACGACCACAATTGTGACCAAAACTTATGTTGCCAGCTGAAACGTTTGTTAAATGAGTTTAACCCCTTTTTATGACCTTTCTTGACCCATTTGTTAAGTGAGCCACTGCAAAATTGTGAAGTTAGTAACATGGTTGTTAAGGTTAAGCTGGCTTCCCCCTTGACTTTGCTCGTCAGAAGGTTGCAAAAGCTGATCACTGACCCCAGGACATTGCAACGGTCATAAATACGAACCAGTAGCCAAGCATTTGGCAATTTTAATGGCGTGACCCTGGGGATGCTGCAGTGGTTGTTACGTTTAAAAAAATGGTCATAAGTCACTTTTTTTCAGTGCCATTGTAACTTTGAATGGTCACTAAATGAACTGTTGTAAGTCGAGGACTGCCTGTATTCTAGAACAGGGCTTTTCAACCTTTTCACCCATTGTACCACTTTTAGGATATGGCAACATCCGAGTACCACCAGCAAGGTGTCAAAAACTTGATGACAAAAAAAAGAAAAAGAAAAAAGTGATAAAGTACAGGTAGTCCTCAACTTACAACAGTTCGCTTAGTGACCGTTCGAAGTTACAACGGCACTGAAAAAAGTGCCCCACATGCCACAGTTGAGCAAGACAACGCCCAGTGGTGCTCTTCCTCCTGTCCGAGGTTTTCATTGTTGTGAACATTTCTGTTGAGGATTGGCAACGGGGGTGGGGTGGGGGGTGTTTGGTTTTTATTCCTCCCATCTGCTGGGTGGTTGCAGCAGGTTTTGGTCACTTCACATGACCCTGGGACACGGTGACGATCATTAATATGAATCAGTTGCCAAGCATCTGAATGTAAATCACAAGACCCTGGGGATGCTGCAACATTCCAGCTGATCGGCGCTTCTTCTGGGCTGAGCAGAAGCATCAGGATCAGCGCTGAGCTCCAGCTGGAGCCTGGCACTGATCCTGGCGCTTCTACTGAGCCCTGACAGCCCCGAAGAAGCGCTGATCAACTGGAAAACGGCACTGATCCTGGCGCTTCCGCTGAGCCCTGACAGCCCTGCAGTTCCAGCCGTCTCTCGTTCAGGCTTGTGCGGTGCTGCCACCGGTTCAGCTCATTCCCCTCTCCCGCTATCACTTTTCTAGGATGGTCGCGTACCACCTGCCAGGTGCCAATGTACCACAGGTGGTACCCGTACCACTGGTTGAAAAGCCCTGCTCTAGAAGTCTTTCTTCTGGTTAGCTGTCACACACAAGCTGCTTTTGTTTTTTGTTTTTACGCAATGTCTGCTCTTTCTTCTCCTGACGTCTCTGTTTACCCTGGCTCTTCCTGTTCTTAAGATCCTCTTGTCAATCCTTTGTAGACTTATCTTGGATGAATTTCTCCAAACTTCCTATCCCTTTGGCTAGACTCTGCCACCCGCTCTGCTCACGGAAAGAGAGCCAAGCCTGGGGAGACCCAGGTCTTCTGTGGCTCTGGATGGGTTGGGGAATGGAATGAATCTTCTCTACTTCACATCAGAAGAGCGATAGCAGATCTGGAAGTGGTCCACACAGTTTGAGTTTCCCTCTTCCTGTGAATTTACCCCATGTCCCTTTCGGAGGAAGAATTCTGGTTTCCTATTGATGTGCTGACCGGAAAGCAAGAGGAGTGGGCTTTCACGCAGAAACATCTGGAGAGGTTTTCCTTGGCACCCAGATCCGTGCACCTGGACATCTCAAGTCTTTGGTCGTCTGGCATGTGCTGTGTCTTCCTTGTTGGAATCAAAACCTTCAGTTACTAGATGGACGGTATGAAGTTAGTAATGGGAAGCCAGTTCAAAGGTAGATGAATGGAGCTTCCGCTTTCATTTCTGCCAGGAAGGAGCAATTTATTCTTTTTAAGTCCCTTATTTTAATTTTTAAATCATCTATCTGTTTGTTTTAGGAGAGGAGATTTCAGACGCCAAACCCTGTTGATATCACCGCAAAGTTCTTTTCAACTTCCCTCCAACTGGCGAGAGGATGTTGGTGGGATTGTCCTGTTTTTTTTTTTATCCTTTCTTTTTTCTGGTCCAAAGGAAGCCACTTCTGCTATGGCTGCATTCATTTCCTTGAAGGCCCATCTCGTGGAGTAGAGTCTGCAACTGTTCACATGTCTTCATATTTCCTTCTTCATCATCTAGCCTACACTATATATGAACATTCCCCATTGCATTGACCTCCAGAAGTGAAAATCTCATGATGTGCAGAGGGGCTTCTAATTTCCCCCCAAAGAGTAACATCCTTTGTACATCTTGTGGGCCCTACACATCCCCAGGTACTCTGCCTGTAGCCACAGAGTCCATCCACCACAACTACCTCGTATTACCCAAACCACAAGGTAACAAAGGCTCAAGCTACTCCCTTGAGCATATAGACTTAGTGCAGTGGTTCTCCACCTGTGGGTCGGGACCCCATTTGGGGTCGAACGACCATTTCACGGGGGTCGCCAAACAACGCAGTCCGCCATTTCCCCCCCCCCTTTTCCTTAGCTGGGCTACTCCCTTTTATTCTATTGGCTTTTGAAAGCCAATAGAATAGACCCTCTTGAATAGAGTCTCATTCTATTGGCTTTCCAAAGCCAATAGGAATTGTCCAGGCTGTCTCTGCCCTGCTGAGCCCGCCAAAAGTCCCATTCTGCAAACGGTGCTGCACCAGTTGAGTAGTCCTCAACTTATGACCGGTTGGGGGTCGCGGCATTAAAAAGGTTGAAAACCACTGACTTAGTCGGTTAAAGGAGTTGGGAGCACCACAAATATGTCTCAGAAGACATGTTCAGGGAGAAAGGGGTTTGTTTTAAGATTCTTGGCATGGGAAAGAGGACATGATGATGATGAGTCAATTGGTAAAAGCCCAGGGCATAAAATTTATTATCTGGTTTCCCAAGGATGTGACTTGGACATACACCAATGATTACTGCAATTCCTAGCCTTTCTGGCACAAGTTGAAAAACCATAATGCAGCAAAATGGAGTTGTGTGAAATCTAGTTATTCTACTGTCACCCTGCATCCCAGAGAGAATTATGTATTACACGGCCTCATCTGTTATAGGGTAATAATGAATATAGATAGCCCTTGTTTAGCAACTGCCTCATTTAGCAACTGTTTGCAGCCACTATAGTGACAAAAAGTAACTTTACAGCCAATTCTTACATTTATGACCTTTGCAGGTCCCTAAAGCAAAAGAAAGCTGAAAGTAAGATCATAAGCCCAGCGCAGTTTCACTTAGTGACCATTTTGCTTAATGACTGAGTTGCCAGATCCAATGGCGATCGCTAGGACTACCTGTATATTTGTGGATAAGGATGGAAATAACCTATTTTTTCAAATACATGTGGTGAACGTTGTTTATATCTAAAAATATATTTCTAAATGAAGAACCTCCAGATCAACCCTTTTCAAAGGTGATTCTTAGGACTGTAACTATTGTTCTTCTTCCCAAACTGATTTTTGTGTTTGAGTTCAGAAACTCCCTACCAAAGGCACCTGTCTCACTTCCTCATTAATAACTTCCTGAAGGTGGTAAATTCCTTTTCAGAAAGGTGTGTACTTTCAATTAAATCTGCTGTTTTAATCTGTGCCCTTCAGTGTTTAAATAGTTTGACTCTTCTGCATTGTGCTTTATGCTGTAGTTCTTTTGTTATGGGGTGGTTTAAAGGAGGAGGAAGTTTTTAACTGTTAAGCCAAATAGTAACATAAGCTGCCTGGACCTTTTGGGGGATAACAGGGCCTTTGCATGGATGAAATAATTTCTAAGGCATTGGACTGCTTAGACTCCTTCCATGGGATCATAGTAGCGTAGCCAAAATCAAACCTGGTTTCCAGATATCACTAGCACTGCCATCTAAAAATGGGAAAAACCTACCTAGTGTCTTCTTCTCAAGATAGGCTTTCAGTGGACCTTCATTTGGAGACACTGGGGACCTGGCATCTGTAATTATTTCTCGATTGTGGCCCCAGGTTGATCCAATAAGCTTTTACCTGAGGCCAGATTACTCTGATGACTTTCTGAAAGTTGAAAACCAAACTCATCTAGAAAACAATTGCTTGACCCTGTCAAGGACAATAGAGTAGGATTGTTGTTTGTTTTTCTAGTTGATTATGGTGGCATATTAAAAACAGATGAAATAAACCATACTATAGATGGCAGCCGATAACTTGTCAATTTAATGAACTTAGATAGAAGATCTTGCACAACAGTGAACTGACGTGTTCTGTTGTTTCAAACACATATTTTTGTTGATGGACAGAATAACTTACAAGGCAGCTGTCCTGGGAAAGTGAGAGAGGCATCTGTGCAAAGAAAGTCCCTTGTAGACTGGGCCAGATCTGTATTTTCAGAGTTATTTCTCATACATAGCACTTAGCACTTAGACTTACATACCGCTTCACAGTGCTTTGCAGCCCTCTCTAAGTGGTTTACGGAATCAGCATCTCGCCCCTCAACAATCTGGGTCCTCATTTACCAATTCTGCCCACTGCTAGCAGTTTGATCCTGACCGGCTCAAGGTTGACTCAGCCTTCCATCCTTCCAAGGCTGAAACAACCTTGAGCAGGTCTGGATCAAACTGCTAACAGTGGGCAGAATTAGCCTGCAATACTGCATTCTCACCACTGCGCCACCAGGGCTCTTGCCCAATTTCAACCATACTGGGGGAACGGGTGGCCTTCCAGGTGAGGTTGGACTTCAACTTTAGCATTCCCAGGCAGCGTGACTAATGAGCAATGATAGGCTTTGTAGTCTAGCGTGGGTAAACAACTTTTGTGATGGTGGGGGTTGCATCAGATGACTTTTTACTGATTCGTTCTTGCTTTGATGGGCTGGAAGGCCCATGCGGTGGGTTTGTGAGGAGGAGCGAGTGGGTATTAAGGTTGGAATGGCTGTTTTACTTAAAGAGGCCTAACTTTCCCCTCCAGGCTGCTGTGTGCATAGGAAGCAAAAAAATTCCCACTGCTACACATGGTCCATTTTGTGATCCTGTCAAGACGAAGGTGGGGTTTACAGGAGAGGAACACCTTGAATGGCTAGTGGCCATTCGCGAGCCATCCAAGCCGCCTCGAGAGCTCTCACAGAAAGTGCTAATGGACCAGATGACTGCAAAGAAATACAATCCTTCCATAATAACCTCCCCCCCCACACCATAGGTGGCAAACCTATGGCACGCGTGCCACAGGTGGCACTCAGAGTCCTCTCTGTGGGCACGCACGCCATCGCCCCAGTCCTAGGCCTTCAGCTGGGTTTTATAAAACCTTTTCGCTTTAGGCCTCCACTGCCATGCTCAAAAAAAAAAAAAAGGTCAATCAATCAATTTCAACTTCTCGCGGGGAAAAAAAGATCTTGCAAAGCTGGAATTGATTGATTGAACTTTTTAGTCCCACCCAATCTGCCATTACCACCGCAACCACGCCCACCCAATGGATCATGTCCACCCAATGGACCACGTCTACCCAATGGGCCATACCCACCCAATGGGCCACGCCCACCCAATGGGCCATGCCCACCCAATGGGCCACGCCCACCTGGTACCCGACGATACATAAGTGGATTTTAGGTTGCAGTTTAGGTCTCTGAAAGGTTCACCATCACTGGCTTAGAACCTATCCTTCCATCCTCCCCCCCCCTCCCCGACTCAACTGTCAGTCCTTATTCTCCATCCCCCACCTGCCCCCCCCCATCAGAACTGATGAAGTTTCTCGGATGACAAACGAAACGTATTGTTCTTCTTCCTCAAGTAGGAAAAAAAACCCAGTCCAGTTGCCTTTTGAAAAAGCCCTTTGGAGGCAACTATGACCTGGATGACTTGAATGGCTAGCTGGAGGCAAGTGTTGAGTGACAGCCCTCTCGCTATTAAGTTTGGAAAGCCAGGAAGGGGCGGAACGAAGCCAAATTCTGAATGGGTGTCCTTCATAGCTCGGGGCTGTCTGCTGGAGGCGGGCATTTCCTTAAGATGGCATCCATCGGCCTCCGCAGCTGGGAAAAGGGGGCAGATAGTGTCATGCAGATAATCATGTGATTTTATAAAAGATGCGTGACATGTGTAAGGTCACTAAAGCTCCTGCAGGTGCTTGTAGGTGCCCTCCAGATCTTCCAAAGGAGGTGGAAGGGAGTTGGGATCACAAGGTTGTTGGTTTTTTTGCTCCTCCCAGACATGATTTAATTAAGAGTCCTTTTGGCCTTTCCCAGAAATGTACCCTTTTATTGCTTTTGTTTACTTTGATGCGTCTTCCTCCCTCCCTCCCTCCCTTCCTCTTTCTTTCTTTCTTTCTTTCTTTCTTTCTTTCTTTCTTTCTTTCTTTCTTTCTTTCTTTCTTCCCTCCCTCCCTCCCTCCCTCCCTCCCTCCCCCCCCCCCTCTCTCTCTCTCTCTCTCTCTCTCTCTCTCTCTCTCTCTCTCTCTCTCTCTCTCCCTTTTCTTTTCTTTTTCCTGATGCATTATATTTCTTGAGTTAAATACATAGGAAATATATATCAACCAAACACATTTTCTGGCTCTTTCCTCTTTAATTTCTTACTTCATATCCACAGTACTCAATTTGAAGTGTGCAAAAAAGTTTTGAATCCCAAGCTCCCAATTCCAAGTTCAAAACAGCTGTTCTGGTGCTGTTAGGACAGGGGTAGGCAACCTTGGCTCTTTTATGACTCATGGACTTCAACTCCCAGAATTCCTGAGCCAGGCTGGCTCAGGAATTCTGGGAGTTGAAGTCCACGAGTCATAAAAGAGCCAAGGTTGCCTACCCCTGTGTTAGGATAATCCTGGAACCCCTCTGAATGTCCATTTACAAGATAAGATAAGATAAGATAAGATAAGATAAGATAAGATAAGATAACCTTTATTGTCATTTTTATACTGTGGGCACAACGGCACACATCAAACATGAAATTTAGTTGCCCGCTCTCAAAGTGAAATCCATACATGACACGCACTTAAACATACTATGAACAACATATGTATAGACTCACATCCCTACATATACGT